AGAAGAAATCAAAAGGGAAATTAGAAAATATTTTCATGAAAACACATATCAAATCTTCCGGGATGTAGTTAAAGCAGCGCGTAGCTATAAATGCCTATGTTAAAAAAAGAAGAAAGATGTTGGCCAGACACGTTGGCTCATGCCTGTGATCCAAGCACTTTGGGAGGCCAAGGCAGGTGGATCACCTGAGGTCAGGAATTTGAGACCAGTCTGGCCAATGTGGTAAAACCCCGTCTCTAGTAAAAATACAAAAAATTACCCAGGCATGGTGGTGTGTGCCTGTAATCCCAGCTACTTGGGAGGCTGAGGCAGGAGAATCGCTTGAACCCAGGAGGCAGAGGTTGCAGTGAGCTGAGATTGCGCCACTGCACTCCAGCCTGTGCGACAGAGCAAGACTCTGTCTCAAAAAAAAAAAAAGAAGAAAGATCTTAATTCAATAACCTAATGTTCCATCTTAAGAAACTAGTAAATAAAAGATCAAATTAAACCCAAAGCAAGCAGAAGAAAATAATAAAAACTAGAGCTAAAATAAATTAAACAGAATAGAAAAATAGAGAAAATCAACAAAATCAAAAGTTTCTTTTTAAGAATCAACAAAATTGACAAAGCTTTAACTACACTGACCAAGAAAGAGAAGACTCATATTGCTAAAATCAGGAATGAGATAAAAGCCATTAATACTGCCCTTACAGAAATAAAAAAGATTATAAGAGAATATTATGAAAATTATATGTCAACAAGCCAAATAACCTACATTAAATGGACAAATTCCTAGAAAAACACTACCCAAACTGGCTAGGCCTGGTGGCTCACACCTGTAATCCCAGCACTTTGGGAGGCCGAGGTGGGCAGATCACTTGAGGTCAGGAGTTCGACACCAGCCTGGCCAACATGGCAAAATTCCATCTTTACCAGAAATACAAAAAATTAGCCAGGCATGGTGGCGCATGCCTGTGGTCCCAGCTACTTGGGAGATGGCAGGATCACTTGAGCTCAGGAGGACTCCAGTCTGGGTGACAGCTTGAGACCCCATCTCAAAGCAAAACACTACTAAAACTGACTCAAAGAGAAATACAAAATTTGAATAGACTTACAATTAAGAGATTGAATGAATAATCCAAAGACTTCCCACCAAGAAAAGCTGAGGATTTGACAGCTTCACATAGACTACACCATCACCAAGAAGTATTAATCCCAGGAATGCAAAATTGATTCAACATAGGAAAATCAACGTACATACCATATCAATAAAATAAAGTAGAGGCCGGGCGTGGTGGCTCAGCCTGTAATCCCAGCACTTTGGGAGGGCCGAGCGGTGGATCATGAGGTCAGGAGATCAAAGGCTATCCTGGCTAACATGGTGGAAACCCGTCTCTACTAAAAATACAAAAAACTAGAGCCGGGGCGTGGTGGGCAGCGCCTGTAGTCTCAGCTACTTGGGAGGCTGAGGGCGGGAAGAATGGCGTGAACCGGGAGGCGGGCTTGCAGTGAGCCGAGATCACGCCACTGCACTCCGCCTGGGAGCACAGCGAGACTCCGTCTCAAAAAAATAAAAATTACAAATAAAAAATAAAATAAAAAAAAAGTAGAAACAATTACATAATTATCTCAATAGAAGCAGAGAAACAAAACACCATTTGACAAGATCCAATACCCATTCGTGATAAAAACACTCAACACACTAGGAATAAGCAGGAAATTCCTACCCTGATAAAAGGCATCTACAAATAATCCACAGGCAACATCATACTTAATAATGAATCGCTGAATGATTGTCTTCTGAAACAAGGAACAAAACAAGGATGTCCACTCTCTTCATTCAACATTGTACTGGAGGTTCTAAGTACAGTCAAGGCTAGAAAGTAAAAGGAATCCAGAGTAGAAAGGAAGATTAAAAATTATCTCTATTTACAGATTTATAATCTTATGTTGAAGATTCCACTAATAAAACTATTAGAGCTAGTAAATAAGTTCAGCAGAATTGTAGGGTATAAGATCAATATACAAAACAGTTGTAGGACTGGCCCAGTGGCTCACACCTGTAATCCTAGCACTTTGGGAGGCTGAGGTGGAAGGATTGCCTGAGCCCAGGAATTCAAGACTAGCCTGGACAACACAGCAAGACCCTGTCTTTGCAAAAAATGTAAAAATTAGCTGGACATGGTGGCACACATCTGCAGTCCCAGCTACTCGGCTAGAGCGCAGCGGTGCAATCTCGGCTTACTGCAGCCTCCACCTCCCCGGTTCAAGCAATTCTCCTGCCTCAGCCTCCTGAGTAGCGGGGACCACAGGCACATGCCACCACGCCCGGCTAATGTTTTTGTATTTTTAGTAGAGATGGGGTTTCACCATGTTAGCCAGGATGGTCTCGATCTCTTAACATCATGATCCACCCGCCTCAGCCTCCCAAAGTGCTGGGATTACAGGTGTGAGCCACCGCGCCCTGCCAATAAAATAATTTTTAAAAGGTTAAACATAGAGTTACCATCTGATCTATCAATTCCACTTCTACATGTATACCCAAAAGAAATGAAAACATATGTCCACACAAAAACTAGTCCATGAGGGAGGCCAAGGTGGGCGGATCACCCGAAGTCAGGAGCTCGAGACCAGCCTGGCCAATGTGGTGAAACCCCATTTCTACTTAAAATACAAAATTAGTCGGGCATGGTGGTAGGCGCCTGTAATCATACCTACTCGGGAGGCTGAGGCAGGAGAATAGCTTGAACCCAGGAGGCGGAGGTTGCAGTGAGCCAAGATCACGCCATTGCACTCCAACCTGGGCAAAAAGAGCAAAAGTCCATTTCAAAAAAAAAAAAAGCAAAAAAAAACTTGTACATGAATGTTCACAGCACCATTATTCACAGTAGCTAAAAAGAAAATATAACACAAATATAAACTACTGAACAGATAAACAAAATGTGGTGTAATGAGAAAAACACTGAATTGTATGAAAAGCTTTCCCCCAAACTTGGAGGCAATCGAGAGACCAGAGAATGACTCAGGCAAGTCCAGCTTGGCGAGCAGATGAGTTTAAGGACTTACATATGGGACACTCCTGGAGAGCAGCAGGACAGTGCTACCGATCCGCGCCACCTCTCATCTCTAAGCTGGTTTTAAGCTAATTTTCTAGCTCTTTGCCTACTGAGTGTATGCAGTGGGACTGTTTTCCTTGGTAGGTTCTCAGATCCTCTCCAGGATGCTTGAGTCCTCAGGAATATCTGCTCCTAGGCTGGGCACCATGGCCTTGGCTCACCACCCAGCGTTCAGTATTCAAGCAATGGACATACACTCCCAAGTAACCTGATGGGGGACCTGCCACACTACATGTGGTATAGACACACAACAGAACATTATTCAGCAATAAAAGTGAATGAAATACTGATTCATGTTCCAACTAGGATGAGCCCTGAAAACACGATGCTCAGTGAAAGAAGCAGACAGAACAGGTCACATATTGTGTGACTCAATTTATAGGAAAGGTCAAGAATAGGTAAACCCACAGAAGCAAAAAGTAGATTCAGAGTTGCCAGGGACTTGGTGGAGGGGGAGATGGGGAGTGACTGCTAACAGGTTCAGGATTTCAATTTTAGTAGAGGACGGTGATCACAATATTCTGAAATTAGATAGTGGTCATCATTGCACAATTCTGAAGAAATGCACCTTATTGGACGCATTTAAAGGGTGGATTTTATGGCATACGAATATGTCAACAAAACATTTTTATTTTTTTAATTTTTTTTTTTTCCGAGACAGAGTTTCACTCTGTTGCCCAGGTTGGAGTGCAGTGGCATGATCTTGGCTCACTGCAGTCTCCACCTCCTGGGTTCAAGCGGTTCTCACAGCCTCAACACAGTTTGAGGCTGGTCTCGAACTCCTGATATCAAGTGATCATCCTGCCTTGGCCTCCCAAAGTGCTGGGATTACAGGTGTGAGCCACCACACCCAACCAGTATGATTCAATTTATATAAATTTTTTGGAGGCCAGGCGCGGTGGCTCATGCCTGTTATCCCAGCCCTTTGGGAGGCCGAGAGGAGTGGATCACTCGAGGTCAGGAGTTCGAGACCAACCTGGCCAACATGGCGAAACCCCATCTCTACTAAAAATACAAAAATTAGCTGGACGTCGTGGTGCGCACCAGTAAGTCCCAGCTACTCGGGAGGCTGAGGCAGGAGAATCACTTGAACCCAGGAGGTGGAGGTTACAGTGAGCAGAGATTGTGCCGCTGCACTCCAGCCTGGGAGACAGAGTGAGACTCTGTCTCAAAAAAATAAAAAATAAAAAATAAGATATGACTTGGGTTTCTAAGGATTCCCAGCGTGTCCTCATCGGTTGGACCTCTGATGCATGAAGAGGTAGGTGCAGTGGAGAGCATATCCACAAAACAGAAATGAGGCTATTGGGATGCTGGAGATTACATGACAACTTATGAGTGACACACAACCAAGAACAGAACCGGGACTGGATGCCCGTTTCTTCATTCAACAAGTATTTATTGAGCACCCACAAACCCTCAAAAACTGTTCTAGGACCTAAATCCTGGGGTCATAGTCATGCCCCCAGCCCACTCTCTTGCGGGAAAGACCATGGCTCAAGGTCCCCCACATTACTGGTTAAAAAACACTCCAGTGCTCTGGCCGTGTCCTTGCGGACAGAGACCGGGAGGATAATGAGGCCAAATAGCTTTGACCCACCGCCCCGGGACTGGCAAAGACGCCAGACCTCCTAACGCTCTTCCTTGGAAGAAGGAGCAGTGCTTGATTTGGTCAAGAGGCCAACACGAACAGTAAGAGGATAAACACGAGCTGGCTGGACGCGAGGCTGGCTCAGGGCAATGCTGTTGGGCTGAGGATTCAGGGAGCTGGTGTGGTCCAAGAGTCACATTTGCGGAAACTACAACTCCCAGCGTGTCCCGCGGCCGCCCAAGCGGGCGTCATGTGATCCATGCTCACGTGTCTCCGCAGCCGGCTCGGGAAAGAATCCCCAAAGGTAAGTGGCCGGAGACAGGCTCTGGAGGGTGGAAGTGTTAGATCCCCGAGGTCTCTGGAGCCCCTCAGCCCCCGCCACCGCGGCAGTGCTCAGGCCCTTTCCCTGCAGAGGTCCGGATCCCGGCGTCCTCGCCCCACGCCTGTCCCTCGGTTGGCCGGCTCTGCCGCGCCTTATCCCAGCCAGCGGGTCTCCACCCAGTCCTAGGCCGGAATCGAGTCCCGGAGCTCCTCCCCAGTTTACCCCACAGTAGCCCACCCGCCTCACTCCAGGCCTGGGAATCGCCCCGCCCCGGCCTCCTGGCCCGGGTGCGCCCTGGCTCACCTCACAAAGCAGCCCACCCTTTCTATTTCAGGGCTCCAACCCCAGGCTGGACTGGGAGCACACTCCAGTTGGGATCTGAGGGGCCTACTCTCTGGCCTGAGCATGTGGGCATCAGGCTTCTATTCTGGCTCTGCCACCTGCCCACTGTGACCTTAGTCTAACCTCTCCCTCCTGGGCCTGTTTTCCTGTCTGACCTGAGGCTCCAGTCCATGGGTAAGAGTGAGAGCCGCTCAGTCTCCTCCAGCTCTGCTAAAGCCAGCGCAGAAGTAGCCCAAACTCTTCTCTCTGCTGACAGCAAATTGTAGGCAAAGTCTTGAGAAAGAAGAAATTGGGGCCAGAAAGGGAAGTGAGGAGAACCAGATCCCAGACCTTTGGAGAGAAGGAGCAAACTGCCTCTGGCACAGCCCATCAGGGAGAAAGCAGGTAAGGTGCAAAGGTGGACTGAGTAATTTGCCAGTGAGCATTGGGGGTGCCCAGAGATCTTGAACCAAGGCAGAGAATCCGCAAGAGATGAGACCCCCAGCTTCTGAGTTCCGTGAGGACCCCAGCCTGCGCTCTCATGTGGGTGGCAGGAGAGGCTGGCAGATGGTGCAGGACTTGGGCAGGGCTGCCAAAGGGAAACATTTTGGTTGGAGAGTCAGGAAGCCGCACCAAGCCTTGTGACCTTGGACGAGTCACTCTGTAGACCCCTGTGTCTGACATGAGCAGCGGGGAGGAGGTGGTCACAGCTCTGGCAGCACTCACTTTGCAGGGTTCCTTCTCTAACTGCACGGGAAGCCTGGGAGTCCCAAGACTGCCTCTACTGCTCACTGCTTTGATTTTGCTGAATTGCTGGCTGGGTGACAGGATGTGTAAGAGGAAGAAGCCCTGTGACATCTGACAGATCTTTCTGGGTTTAGAGCCAGCAGAGGGATGTTTCCTCTGGTGCCATGGTTCCATGCTTGATGACAGATGGTTGAGAGCACATGAATTTTCCCCCTTTCCCTCTCATGAGTGGATGGTCCCCAGCTTTGTTTGTCCATCATCAGGAGGAGCGATGGGAAGTAGCCCAAGTGGTTTTGTTAACCATTTTAAACCCCCAGTGGGCTGAAGGCATCAGAGAGGAAGGTCCAATGGTTAGGGCAGTCATTATGGCTGAATCTGCTCAGTTCCCTTTTCTTCCCTCTGGGCTGTAAAGACTAAACCAGGCCAGGGGCTGTGGCTCAAGCCTATAATCCCAGCACTTTGGGAGGCCAAGGCAGCAGCATTGCTTGAGCACAGGAGTTCAAGACCAGCCTGGGCAACATAGTGAGACCTCCTCATGTCTACAGAAAATTTAAACACGACCGGCATGGGGGGCTTGTCACATGGAAGAAATCACATGGGAGAAGAGTTGAGAATTGGCCTGAATTTTGAAGGGCCAATTTTGTTCCCCACAGGAACAAAAAATGTAAAAGGTTGGCCAGGCACGGTGGCTCACTCCTGTAATCCTAGCACTTTGGGAGGCCGAGGCAGGGGGATCACAAGGTCAGGAGTTCGAGACCAGCCTGGCCAACATGGCAAAACCCCATCTCTACTAAAAATACAAAAATTAGCCAGGCATGGTGGCAGGCACCTGTAATCCCAGCTACTCAGGAGGCTGAGGCAGGAAAATCTCTTGAACCCGGGAGGTAGGGGTTGCAGTGAGCTGAGATTGTGTCATTGCACTCCAGCCTGGGCAACAAGAGCAAGACTCCATCTCAAAAAAAAAAAAGAAAATTAAAAAGTTAGCTGGCTGTGGTGGCACACACCTGTAGTCCCTGGTACTCAGGAAGTCGAGGTGAGAGGATTGCTTGAGCCTGGGAGATTGAGGCTGCAGTGAGCTCTGATTGTGCCACTGCACTCCAGCCTGAGCAACAGAGTGAGACCCTGTCTCTAAATAAATAAAGACTAAACCAGGGAGGGAGTAGAGACTGAAATGGAGTTTTGTATGAGTACCCTGAAATCGGGACTTAGGAATGAGGAGACTGTAGGAGGGGTCTTTGGCAGATTTTGCCAGCCTGGGTGGTAACCAGCTAATAGCAGCCTCTGGGGAAGACTGCCCTGGTTCCTCCCTGCCCCCTTAGTCCCTGCCCTTGTAATCTGGGCTTCTTCCTGCTCTTTCTCCCATTAGCTATCCCAGGGCCTCTGCGCCCATTGTTACCTGGCCAATAGCACCAGGCTCTGGTTTGGGTTTTTTTGTTGTTTGTTTGTTTGTTTGTTTTGAGACAGAGTCTTACTCTGTCGCCCAGACTGGAGTGCAGTGGCATGATCTGGGCTCACTACAACCTCCGTCTCCCGATTTCAGGCCATTCTTCTGCCTCAGCCTCCTGTGTAGCTGGGACTACAGGGGTGAACCACTGCACCTGGCTAATTTTTGTATTTTTAGCAGAGATGGAGTTTCACCATGTTGGCCAGGATGGTCTCAAACTCCTGACCTCAGGTGATCTGCCCACCTTGGCCTCCCAAAGTGCTGGGATTCCAGACGTGAGCCACCACACCCGTCCCAGGCTCTGGTTTTGATCGGTGTTCTGCTCTTAGCTTGCTTAGGGCTGGAGAGTCTCAGGCATGGTTGGTAGTGGGCAACATGGGAAGGGGCATCTGCAGAAATAACAGCAGCAGTGACCATTTATTGAGTGTTAAACCCTTACTGATATTAACACACGCCCCACAGGAACATATGATGTAAAGGCTTAGAGGGGCGAGGTGACTGGCCCAGGGTCACACAGATAGGCAGCGGAGGAGTCAGCATTCTGAAGGCAGAGCCTACTCGGAGACCCAGATCACAGCCCTGTCCAGGGCTGCTCTTGATCTGGGGGTGGACTTGATTCTTTAGGACCATCATTTCTCTGTGGGTCTCAGGCCATGAGCTGACCCTTGAGAACACTGAAGGTCCTTTTTCAGGGCTGGGCTCCTCAGAGCCTCAGAAGATTCTTGGAAGAAAAAAAAACTGCATCTCAACAGTGTTTAGCCAGAGAGCAAAGAGAATCAGTCAGGTGATAAGCCTGTTATCTAAGTTCCGCCACACCCAAGGTACCGTCTTGGACTCAGGAGTGGGGCAGATACAAACGGATGGATGCCCTGTGGTCAGACAGGCCTGGGTTTGAATCTCAGCTCCACCACTGACCACTGTATGACTCAGGGGAGAGTGGTTGTCCCTTCTGGGATTCAGCTTCCTCTTTGGTAAAATGGTGACTGTCATGTCTACCTTTTAGGGCTGCATTGAGGATTGAATGAGAAAGCATTCCATAGCTGCAGCAATAGTGGTTTATAGTAACAAACAGCACTGCATGTTGAGTACCGATCATTGTAATCTAGCCCAGGAGAGCAAGCCTAGTGGCCAGTGAGATGCTGGCACATGAGAGAGTACTGAGAAGAAACCAACTTGAGTGGTGCTGGGCCCCTACATGGCACCAAGAAGAGCTCAGTGAGTGACCCAGGAAATGGGGAAGAAATAGGACCTAAAAGGGTGGCTGGCAAAGGAGTTGGGAGCATTCCAAGCATGGGATGAATCATTGTTTTCCTGAAGATGCAGACATGACAGGCATGGGGGATTGTCACATGAGAGGAGTTGAGAATTGGCCTGAATTTCAAAGGTCCTCGAAAGTCACAGAATTTAGACTCTGGGCCACCGGGAGGCATGCTGGACTGTAATATGTTGAATTTCAGTTCTTGGCGAGGGGTCCTTTTGGGTCCCTGTGGTGTGAAAACAGGCTGGAAGCCAGGCAGATCCGGATCCAAATCCTGCTGTGCAACTTGCTAATATATGACCCTGGGTCAGTGATGGGATCTCTCCAAACCTTTTGACAAGACTGTCCTAAGGATTGAATGTGATAAAGTATATCCATGACACATCTGCCCGACATGGGGCCTCTCTCTAGTGCTGATGTGTTATTACCCACTTTATGTTGACATCTAACTGGCCCAATGAGTCTGTATGCCTGAAACAAGCATGATTTACACCTGATCTGTTTCTGTGTCTGTCTCCCCATACTCTGGCACCCAGTGCACTGTCTGCACAGAGGCATACCTGGGTTTGGATCCTACCCATGTGATCTTGGGCAAGTTATTTCACCTTTTTGTTCCCCAGTTCCCCCATCTTAGGATAACAGTAGTGCTTGCCTTTGTCCCATCTAGGTTGAGAAGAGTCCTAGGCTAACAGCCCCGAACAGGTGGGTGTTGCTCAGCTGCCTGGGGCATGTGGTTGTAAGGCAGAACCCACAGACCTTGCAGGAAGAAGGCTTTTGGGGCCATGGCCCAGGCCAGCATCAACAGTGACTACAGTGAGTGGGGCTTGAGCACGGATGCCGGGGAGCGGGCCCGGCTGCTTCAGAGTCCCTGTGTGGACACAGCCCCCAAGAGTGAGTGGGAAGCCTCTCCTGGGGGTCCAGACAGAGGCACCACTTCCACACTTGGGGCCGTCTTCATCGTCGTCAACGCGTGCCTGGGCGCAGGACTACTCAACTTCCCAGCAGCCTTCAGCACTGCAGGGGGCGTGGCAGCAGGCATCGCACTGCAGATGGTGAGTGCACTGGCCAGGAGGGCAGAGGTGCAGTTCAGGCGGGCACTTTGCCTCAAAAGGGAGGCTTTGAGTCAGGAATGGCCAGTAAGTGATACAGCACTGCTCTCCCCTCCCTCACATGTGGCAGACATGACTAATCTATTCTAGTATTCTTTCTTCTGAGGCTTCAAAAGCCTTCCAACAATCAGAGAAATTTGAACATCAATTACATGTCTAATTTTTTAGGCAAAACATTGATTTTGTGGTATGTTTACAAAGAGGGCCCTTATCTTTTAGAACTACACACTGAAATGTTTATGGATGAAATGATATGATAGCTTTATATTGGCTTCACAATAAATGCAGAGTGGGAGGGAAAGGGAATGATGAAACAGGTTGGTCATGCATTGATCATTTTTGAAGCTGAGTGATGGATACATGCCAGTTCTTTTTACTATTCTCTTTACCTTTTTTTTTTTTTTTTTTTTTTTTATGGTGTCTTGCTTTTTCACCCAGACTGGAGTGCAGTGGTCTGATCTCAGCTTACTGTAGCCTCCGCCTTCCAATTTCAAGTGATTCTCCTGCTTCAGCCTCCCAAGTCGCTGGCATTACAGGCACCCACCACCATGCCCAGCTAATTTTTGTATTTTTAGTAGAGACAGGGTTTCACCATGTTGGCCAGGCTGGTCTCAAACTCCTGACTTCAAGTGATCCTCCTGCCTCAGCCTCCCAAAGTGCTGGGATTACAGGCATGAGTCATCGTGTCCGGCCTATTCTCTTTACTTTTGTATGTTTGCAATTTTTCACAAAACTTTTTTTTTTAAAGAAAATCTCAACTCAGCATCGTCTAGCAGTCTCTTAAAATTGCCCTTGGGAGATTTGGCAAGCTTGCTTTGGGCACAGGCCCAGTAAATGCGAGGCGAGCCCAGGGCACCCTCTGCTGCCAGGCCTGTCCCACAAGCTCTTGTTCTGCCTCTGCCTGCAGGGTATGCTGGTTTTCATCATCAGCGGCCTTGTCATCCTGGCCTACTGCTCCCAGGCCAGCAATGAGAGGACCTACCAGGAGGTGGTGTGGGCTGTGTGTGGCAAGCTGACAGGTGTGCTGTGTGAAGTGGCCATCGCTGTCTACACCTTTGGCACCTGCATCGCCTTCCTAATCATCATTGGTGACCAGCAGGACAAGAGTGAGCTTCCCCCTCAGTCCCTACCCCATCTCTTCTTATCAGCCCTGTGGGGGAGGGAAAAGGTGCTGAACACCTTTCCAGGACTTACCTGGGCCCAGCATTCATCTGGGAATCCTCCCTCCAGGCAGAGGGAGGTCCTGGGACCCAGCGGAGCAGGAGGGCCACACCCCGTGATGGCCTGGCTTGACATTCCCTCCTTCCTCCCTGTGCAGTTATAGCTGTGATGGCAAAAGAGCCGGAGGGGGCCAGCGGCCCTTGGTACACAGACCGCAAGTTCACCATCAGCCTCACTGCCTTCCTCTTCATCCTGCCTCTCTCCATTCCCAGGGAGATCGGCTTCCAGAAATATGCCAGGTATGGAGGCCCCAGCCCCGGTCAGACAGAAGCTGTGATCCTGGGCAGCTGTAGACCCAAGGGCTCCTGGGGAACCCTGCTCCTCCATGCCACCTTACCTTAGGGAGCAAGAGTAGGCAAAGCAGGGCAGATTGGGGCTTGCAGGGTTTCAGATAAGACCATCCTTTTCTGTCTCCATCACAGAAAAGGATGCATCCGTGAGAGATTCAGTTCTAAGTGTCCTTTTGCATCCATGAGAAATTCAGTTCTGAGTGTCCTTTTGCATCCATGAGAAATTCAGTTCTAAGTGTCCTTGTCAAAGAAAGAACAGGTGGTATCTGGATGGTGAAGGCGGCCTCCTGGCTTTCCCTGGGAGGAAGGGATTTGGGTCTTTGAGATTGTCAGCCTGGCAGCATCTTACCTGCAGCTTGGCATGAAGGAAGGAAACTGGTTTCCTGTCTCAGCGTCTGAAAGGCTGTGGGATTCTAGGCTTCCCCGTCCGTAAGTGCAGGGGCCATGCTCCACTCTCTCCAAGGCTCCCATAAATGTTGACACAAAAGTGTTTGTACTCTCAATCCCCTTACCTCTGGCATCTCGTAGTTCTCAAAGGCCAGGCTCAGAGGATGGGCTGCCCACAACCCCCGCCCAGGCTGGGCTGCTCTGATTCAAGTCCCAGGTGTGCTTTGGAGCCCTGCTCTCTGCATTGTCTCTGAGCCATGGAGCTGAACCAGCACTTCCCAATGGCCAGAGATGATGATCGGGTCCCCTCTTGGCTGTCCAGCTCCCTCCTAGCTGTGGCAGGTTTCTCTAAAACTACTTCTCAGGCATTTCCTGAGTCTTTGCTTGGCATAGTTCCTGGTTCATTCAGTGGACACTTGTGGTCACTAGAGCTGAAGGTGGATGTCCCTAGGGGTGGAATCAGATAAGAGGCAGCTGGGGATGAGGACACTTAGTCTCTCCTTCCCGGCAGCTTCCTGAGCGTCGTGGGTACCTGGTACGTCACAGCCATCGTTATCATCAAGTACATCTGGCCAGATAAAGAGATGACCCCAGGGGACATCCTGACCAGGTGAGGGTGAGGGCCCTAGGAGACATGGGGAAGAAGCCACCACTTGGGCCCCAGCAGGTGCTGGGTCAGGAACCAGAAGGCCACACAGGTGCTCTTCTCAAGGCTCGTGAGCTCATCAGGGCTGACTTGGTCATTGTAGGAAGGAGAAAAGAGCCCCTGATCTCATGTTACTGGAGGGAAGAGCAAGAATCAGAGACAGGAGGCACCTTGCCACCCACATCCAACAGATGAACAGTGTGAGGCTAGGCCTTGGGTTGTGGAGGAACCTGAGGGTGGAATTGCCCATGTTTCCAGCATGTGCTTATCTGTAATTTATATATCTTTGAGGGTGAATTTATTATTTAAAAAAAACCAAAAAAACAAAAAACAGGGCCAGGCGTGGTGGCTCACGCCTGTAATCCCAGCACTTTGGGAGGCCAAGGCAGGTGGATCATGAGGTCAGGAGATTGAGACCATCCTGCCTAACATGGTGAAACTCCGTCTCTACTAAAAAAATACAAAATATGGCCGGGCGTGGTGGCGGGCGCCTGTAGTCCCAGCTACTCGGGAGGTTGAGGCCGGAGAATGGCGTGAACCCGGGAGGCGGAGCTTGCAGTGAGCTGAGATCCGGCCACTGCACTACAGCCTGGGTGACCGAGTGAGACTCCGTCTCAAAAACAAAACAAAACAAAACAAAAACAAAACAAAACAAAAATTTCCTTTTTTTGAGAGAAACAAACCAGTGAAGCAAAATCCCCAGTCCAGGAGCCAGGAATTCTGGATTTTGGTCCTAGGGATCTTTTCGGAGCCTCCAGGCCCCCTCCCAGCAGGGCCTGGGACAGAGGGATGCCTCTTTTCCCTGGTCCCAGACTTCCGTGGGTTGAACCTGTAGAATGCCTGTTGCTGGAGACCATGGTAGGCTGAATGAAGAGTGAGGGTGTGGGGTGGGTTGGTGGCTCCGAGGAGTTCCCAGGTGGCAGCACCTTGTGTGTTTGTTCACAGGCCGGCTTCCTGGATGGCTGTGTTCAACGCCATGCCCACCATCTGCTTCGGATTTCAGGTGCCAGTGCCAGTTGCAAGGTCCCTGCTGTCCCCTTAGGTCACCCCACCCCAGGTTGGAACCCAGGAAGGAGGAGGAACCCAGGCAGGATGGAGGAAATCCTGGGGGGAAGGACGGAGCAGGGGCCTCAGGACTTGCCCCTTGTCCCTGGGGTCTTTGTTCCCAAGGTACCTTCCTCTGGAAACTGGGGGTGAGGTCATTTCCCCACCATGACCGTGCCCTTCGCCTGGACAGTGCCACGTCAGCAGTGTGCCCGTCTTCAACAGCATGCAGCGGCCTGAAGTGAAGACCTGGGGTGGAGTGGTGACAGCTGCCATGGTCATAGCCCTCGCTGTCTACATGGGGACAGGTAAGTGCTCCCCCCTAGACCTGGGACTGGAGTGCTCTCACTTCCACAGGTGTCCACAGGTCCTGGGGCCTAGCATGACTTGTACAGGCACTGGCTTGAACTTGGCCTGCCTGGGCCCTCCTCCTGCCAAGATGAGAGTGGCGTATTCATCCATTCATTCACCAGTTCTAAGTTGGTGCCTAGGAAGTGCCAGGAACTGTTCTCAGTGTGGGGGATGCCATGGAGAGAGATAGAGCTGGTCTTGCCCTCATGGAGTTGACATTCTTGTTGGAGAGACAGTCATGCAGGAGTAACTAGGGAATCAGTAAGGAATTCCGGATGGTGGCGAGCATCCTGATGACAGTGAAATCGGGGAGGTGTATTTTGTTTTGTTCTATTTTGTTGTGTTTTGAGAAAGGGTCTCAGAAACTGTCACCCAGGCTGGAGTGCAGTGGCATGATCATAGCTCACTGTAACCTCAACCTGCCGAGTTCAAGTGATCCTCCTGTCTCAGCCTCCAGAGTAGCTGGGACTACAGCCATGTGCCACCATGCCCAGCTAATTTTTTGTTTTGTTTTGTTTTGTTTTAGCAGAGACAAGGTCTCACTCTGTTCCCCAGACTAGTCTTGAATTCCTGGGCTCAAGCAATTCTTCTGCCTCGGCCTCCCAAAGTACTGGGGTTACAGGCGTGAGCCACCAACCCAGCCTAAAATGGGGAAGGTATGAATGGGACTGGATGGGTGGCTTTGGGAGTGGTTCATAGAAAGTTCTTCTCAGAGGAGGCCCAAATGATGAGAAAGAGCCAGAAGAGGAGGGGCTGGGGGAGAACGGTTCTAGACAGAGGAACCACAAAACACCAAATCACTGAGGCAGGGCCAGGAAGAAGGTCTGCGTGGCTGGAGTGGTGTGTGATGGGGGCAGGTGACAGGCAGTGAGGCCAGACAGGCACCGGCAGCCAGATCCTGTTGGGCCTTGAGGGCTTCTGGGAGTCAGAGAGGAAGCGTTTTAAGCAGGGGGGTGGTTCGGGGAAAGATGGCTCTGGCTGCAGTGTGGAGAGTGGTTGGGATGAGGGAGCAAGTCTAGGAAACCCTGGAAGAAGGATCCCGAGTTCTTTCCATGGATGGACAATAGGAGCTGCCTGGGCCAGTACTGTTCTAGCCTCTGAATACACAGCCAGGAATAAGAGAGGCAAATAGCCAAATCCCTGTTCTCCTGGGGCTCATATTCTGACTGGGGAGACAGAAAATAAGCCTGTGAAAAAAATTAATTTTTTTTATTGTTTACTTAAAGACCAGTGTAATAGTACAGTTTAAAAAAAAAAAATTAGAAAGAGATGAGGCTGATCACTGTGGTTCACACCTAAAATCTCAGCTATGGGAGGCCAAGATGGGAGGTTCTCTTGAGCCCAGGAGGTCAAGACAGGCCAGGCAACATGGTGAAACTCCATCTCTACAAAAAAATTTAAAAATTAGCCAGGTGTGGTGACATGCACCTGTGGACCCAGCTACTTGGAGGCTGAGGTGGGAGGATCGCTTGAGCCTATGAGATAAAGGCTGTAGAGACCCATGATCATGCCGCTACACTCCAACCTGGGCAACAGAGCGAGACCCTGTCTCTAAAAAAGAGATAGAGAGAAATGAGTGTTAGGGGACAGGCACAGTGATTCATACCTATAATCCCAACACTTGGAAAAGCTGAGATGAGAGAACCGCTTGAGGCCAGGAGTTCAAGACCAGCCTCGGCAACATAGTGAGACTCATCTCTACAAAAATTAAAGAATTAGCCAGGCATTGGCCAGGCATGGTGGCTCACTCCTGTAATGCCAGCACTTTGAGAGGCCAAGGTGGGCGAATCACTTGAGACCAGGAGTTCAAGACCAGCCTGTCCCAACATGGCAAAACCCTGTCTCTACTAAAATTACAAAAATTAACTAGGCGTGGTGGCAGGTGCCTGTAAGCCCAGCAACTCAGGAGGCTAAGGCATGAGAATCGCTTGAACGTGGGAGGCAGAGGTTGCAGTAAGCCAAGTTCACGCCACTGTACTCTAGCCTGGGGGATAGAGTGAGACTCTGTCTTCAAAAAAAAAAAAAAAAATTAGCCGGGCGTGGTGGCATGTGTCTGTGCCTGTAGTCCCAGCGACTTGGGAGGCCAAGTCGGGAGGCACTTGAGCCTAAGAATTCAAGGCTACTATGGAACTATGATTGTACCGCTTCACTCCAGCCTGAGTGACAGAGCAAGGTCCTGTCTTTAAAAAAAAAAAAAAAAAACGGCCAGGCACCGTGGCTCACACCTGTAATCCCAGCACTTTGGGAAGCCAAGGTAGGCAGATCACATAGGTTCAGGAGTTCAAGACCAGCTAGCCCAACATGGGGAAACCCATCTCTATAAACTCTCAAAGATTAGGGTCAGGCACAGTGGCTCACGCCTGTCAATCCCAGCACTTTGGGAGGCTGAGGCGGGCAGATCCACAAGGTCAGGAGTTTCGAGACCAGCCTAGGCCAACCATGGCGAAACCCCATCTCTACTAAAAATACAAAAATTAGCCAGGCGTGGTGGCGGGCGCCTGTAATCCCAGCTACTTGGGAGGCTGAGGCAGGAGAATCACTTGAAACCGGGGGCAGAGGTTTGCAGTGAGCCGAAATCACACCACTGCACTCCAGCCTGGGCGAAAGAGCGGAACTCCATCTAAAAAAAAAAAATTCCAGGCGTGGCGGCAGGTGCTGGTAAACCCCAGCTGAGGTCGGGGCTGAGGCATGAGAACCGCAGAGCCAGACTGGCATGACGACGCGACTCTGTCTCAAAAAAAAAAAAAGAGAGCCAGGCATGGTGGCGTGCACCTGCTGTAATCCCAGCTACTCAGGGAGGCTGAGGCGGGAGAATCACTTGAACCTAGAAAGTGGGGTTGCAGTGAGCCGAGGATCATGCCACTGCCGCTCCAGCCTTGGCAACAAGAGCGGAACTCCATCTCAAAAAAAAAAAAAGAAAAAAGAGAAAAAGGCCAGGTGTGGTGGCTCATGCCTGTAATCTCAGCACTTTGGGAGGCTGAGGCAGGTGAATCACAAGGCAGGAGTTCAAGACCAGCCTGGTTATATGGTGAAACCCCATCTCTTACTAAAAATACCAAAAATTAGCCCAGGCGTGGGTGGCGAGTGTGTGTAGTCCAGCTACTTGGGAGGCTGAAAGCAGGAGAACTTTTCGAACCGTGGGAGGTGAGGGTTGCCAGTGAGCCGAGATTGCACCACTGCACTCCAGCCTGGGCCACAAAAAGGAAAGCTGCTCTGTCAAAAAAAAAAGAAAAAAAAAAGAAGGCTGGGTCGTTGTGGCTCACCACTTTTGGGAGGTGAGGTAGGGGAGGGATTTGCGTTGAGCCCAGGAGTTATGAGACCGAACTGGCAAGCATTAGCACAACCCCATCTCTACAAAAAAATTAACTGGATGTGGTGGCATCTGCCTGTAGTCCTAGCTACTTGGGAGGCTCGGGTGGGAGAATCACTTGAGCTGAGGAGGTCAAGGCTGCGGTGAGCCATGATCACACTACTGCACTCTAGTCTGGGTAACAGAGCAAGACTGTGTCTCAAAAAAGAAAAGAAAAATAGGACAGGGTGATGTGAGAGAGTACCTGGGGTGGGGGTCATTGTATCATGGTAGCTGGACTGGCAGGAAGCATTCTCTGAGGAAGGACATCTAAACTGAAACCCGCATGATGAGGAGATGGCATCTGAAGCTCTGCCAGACAGAACAGTCAGTGCCGAGGCGCTGAGGTGGGAATGTGCTGGGCAAGTTTAAGCTCACAAAGCTGGGGGCTAGAGGGCTTCCAGTGATGGGGGATATGAGAAGTCAGGGAGGGAGGCATCTGATCAGAGCCCCATCTCCCACGCTGAGCCTCCGTCTAAGTGTCCAGAGCTGCTACAGCAGCCTCCCAGCTGATGTTGTCCCTAGGCGGAGTGCACAGTCCACCCCACTACCCTCCCACGGTTGCCCTGACCCAGCTGTTCCGGCCCCCAGGCATCTGTGGCTTCCTGACCTTTGGAGCTGCTGTGGATCCTGACGTGCTCCTGTCCTACCCCTCGGAGGACATGGCTGTGGCCGTTGCCCGAGCCTTCATCATCCTGAGCGTGCTCACCTCCTACCCTATCCTGCACTTCTGTGGGCGGTGAGCCCCCTTCCACTCCCCAGGGCCCCTCCGAGCCCCTGTGAGCCCTTCCAGCATGGTCCTTTGGCCTTGTGTGGACCCCATCCTGTAGAAGGAGAAACTGAAGCCTGTAGGAAAGGGTCAGTGCCTAGGATGGGTCCCTACGTATCCCAAGACAGGTCTCAGAAGCGCCCTTTGTCCTGGGGTCACCAGAACATTCCGTGAGTACTGTAAGAATATCCAGGGCATGGCACGGTGGCTCATGTCTCTAATCCCAGCACTTTTGGAGGCTGAGGCAGAAGGATCACTTGAGCCCAGGAGTTCAAGACCACCTGGGCAACCTAGTGAGACCCCCATCTCTACACAAAATAAAATAAATAGCCAGGTGTGGTGGCATGCACCTGTGGTCCCAGCTACTCAGCCACTTGGGAGGCTGAGGCAGAAGGATGGCTGGAGCCCAGGAGTTCAAGGCTGCAGTGAGCCAAGATTGCACCACCGCACTCCAGCCTGGGTGAGAGAGCCAGACCCTGTCTCAGAAAAAAACAAAAGAATCTCTATCCAGATCCTTTCCCGAGCTTTCACGTGGACACCCTGCCCTTTGCATACCCCAGACAGTTCCTTTTAAGGAAAAAACTATATCAGTTTCCATGTGATGTAAAGCAAAGTGCTAAGCTCTCCACATTCACCATCTCTAGTCCCCGTAGTAAACAGAGTGCTGGTGGCCCATTTTACAGAAGAGGAAACTGAGGCTCAGGAATGGGGCTTTCCCTGCCATCTACCCAATTAGGAGTCTGGCTCCTGTGAGCTAGAGGTGGGAGGCTGCTAGCGGCAGGAGCACCTCTAAGCCCCTCTCCATGTGGGCAGGGCGGTGGTGGAAGGCCTGTGGCTGCGCTACCAGGGGGTGCCAGTGGAGGAGGACGTAGGGCGGGAGCGGCGGCGGCGAGTGCTGCAGACGCTGGTCTGGTTCCTGCTCACCCTGCTGCTGGCGCTCTTCATCCCTGACATCGGCAAGGTGATCTCAGTCATTGGAGGCCTGGCCGCCTGCTTCATCTTCGTCTTCCCAGGTGCGGACCCCTGGCGCCCCATCACAGCCCCACAGCACAGACTCCCAGGGCCTTCCTAGCCTCTGCTCCCTACTTAATCCAAACATGCAGGAGAGAGTAACCACCATCACTGACTAATCACCTGCCTCGCCTCTGTGATGGCCCCTGTCCAAGCATTATCTCCTGGAAAGAAGGTGTAGTTGTGATCTCCAGTTTACCTGGAAAGAAGGTGTCGTTGTGATCTCCAGTTTACCTGGAAAGAAGGTGTCGTTGTGATCTCCAGTTTACTGATGGCACGTGGGGCTCAGAAAGGGTCACAGACTTGCCTAGAGCTTAACAAACTCAACTAGTAACAAACCTTTTCCATCCCACACTGTCTGGGTTCAGAGTCTGTTCTCTTAACCATTCATTCAGGTGTCTGCTGCTCCCTGACTGAGGGATCTATCTGGCTGGTTCAGCCCATTACAGCCCAGAGGGCAGCAGGGTCTGGGGGTGGCACCCTGACACAGACATCAGAGGACCTGGGTTCCAGACACAGATCTACCACCAGATCCCTGGAGAAGTGTCCTGTTGGCCCAGCCATGAGTTCTACCCTTACCCAACTTGTCTTTATCCAGGAAGCCACCCTCAAAGCCCCAGCTACTGTGCTTGGAGCAGGGGAGCCAGATCTGCTCGGAAATGTACTGGGAAGACCCCTGGGGTTGGGCCACCACTGAGTCACCATTGAGTGCTGTCCCTTTAGCTCTGAGTCTAGCATGCTGCCCAAGGGATCTTATCAGATGCTGGCCTGTCATGGGACAGCAGATGCCAGACGTCCCCAGGTGGATGTGGCATGGGGGCAAAGATGGAATTTCTAGAAGAGTAAACATGGGCCTTTCTCCATCCAGCATTGCTTCTTGGGAAAGGGGAAGGTTAGGAGGGAGGGAGCCCTCTCCCCTCATGAATGCTCAGGGCCACTTCTTCTCTTCTAGGGCTGTGCCTCATTCAAGCCAAACTCTCCGAGATGGAAGAGGTCAAACCAGCCAGGTAAAGCAGGGCCCAGTCCTTGATCCTCTCAGGGAGGCACTGGATTGGAACATGGCTTTGTGGGGGCCTTAAAACAGATAGGAGTCAGAGGCTTGTGTACTTAGAAATCCTGGGTTTGGTTTTGTTTTGTTTTTGAGACGGAGTCTCGCCCTGTCGCCCAGGCTGGAGTGCAGTGGCACAGTCTCGGCTCACTGCAAGCTCCGCCTCCCAGGTTCACGCCATTCTCCTGCCTCAGCCTCCCGAGTAGCTGGGACTACAGGCGCCGCCACCTCGCCCGGCTAATGATTTTTGTATTTTTAGTAGAGACGAGGTTTCACTGTGTTAGCCAGGATGGTCTCGATCTCCTGACCTTGTGATCCGCCCGTCTCGGCCTCCCAAAGTGCTGGGATTACAGGCTTGAGCCACCGCGCCTGGCCAGCTAATTTTTGTATTTTTAGTAGAGATAAGATTTCACCATGTTGGCCAGGCTGGTCTCGAACTCCTGACCTTAGGTGATCCTCCTTCCTTGGCCTCCCAAAGTGCTGGCATTACAGGTGTGAGCCACCACACCCAGCTGGGTTTTTTTTTTTTTTTTTTAAATACTTTTAAAAATTGGGTAGTGTGCTAGTTGTTAACAATTTGAACATTAATAAAGGGCTTAATAGAAAAAGATGGAAGTCCCTCTTCCCCCACAACGCACTCGCCCCCACATCCCTTCTCCTGAGATAGCTCCATGTTACCAGTACGGTCTGTGTCCTTCTCAACCACTTGTGTACATGTGTGCATGTCTGTGTACACATAGCTATGCAGATGTATACACAGTTGCAGGGCATTTGTTTTGTTTTATGAAAAATGATTTCAGCCTGGTGCAGTGGCTCACACCTGTAATCCCAACACTCTGGGAGGCCAAGGCAGGTGGATCACCTGAGGTCAGGAGTTCGAGACCAGGCTGGCCAATGTGGTGAAACCACGTCTCTACTAAAAATACAAAAAAAATTACCTGCGCATAGTGGTGGCCACCTGTAGTCCCAGCTACTCGGGAGGCTGAGGCAGGAGAATCGCTTGAACCTGGGAGGAGGAGGTTGCGGTGAACCAAGATCGCACCATTGATCGCACCATTGCACTCTAGCCTGGTGACAGAGTGAACCTCTATCTCAAAAAAAAAAAATGATTTCAGGTTCAGGTTTCGCTTTCCTGTTCTAGTCCCTTTGTTCCAGTTTCTAGTCAGATCTCCACCCCTTACAGTCCCATACCACGTTCAAACAGGTTTTGTTAAAGCTCTTATCCCACCTTTCTCAGCCTATACCCCCACTGCCTCAGACCCAGACCCCGCCTCCCCAGCTCCTATAATTTGTCCCACAGCCTCTCTAATGATCCCCTGCTCTTCAGCAGGACCTGGCTCCTGGGCTTCTCTCAGCCCTTTCTGGCTATCAGCTTTTTCCAGCCTCCTCTTCCATATCCCTGCACTAACCAATGCCAGTCCACACCAATCTGCATTTTCTGGACTTAAAATTAGTATTGTATAGACAGCAGTTAATTCTCTTACCTTCCCAATGCTTTCTTTTTTTCCCTCTTGTGTAGGGGGTGAGCTCAGGGACACCCCCAGCCCCAATCTAGTAGTGGAACAGTAGTTACTGATTGAAGTAACTGACATGTTTATTTTTGTTGTTGTTGTTTTGTTTGTTTGTTTTTGAGTTGGAGTTTTGCTCTTTTTGCCCAGGCTGGAGTGCAATGGTGCGATCTCAGGTCACCAACCTCCTCCTCCTAGGTTCAAGTGATTTTCCTGCCTCGGCCTCCCGAGTAGCTGAGATTACAGGCACGCACCACCACACCTGGCTAATTTTGTATTTTTATTTTTACTTTTATTTTTATTTTTATTTTTGACACAGAGTCTCGTTCTGTTGTCCAGGCTGGAATGCAGTGGTGTGATCTTGGCTCACTGCAACCTCCACCTCCTGGGTTCAAGTGATTCTCCTTCCTCAGCCTCCCGAGTACCTGGAACTACAGGCACACGCCACCACGCCCAACTAATTTTTTTTGTATTTTTAGTAGACACGGGATTTCACCATATTGGTCAGCCGGTCTTGAATGCCTGACCTCATGATCTGCCTGCCTTGGCCTCCCAAAGTGCTGGGATTACAGGTGTGAGCCACTGTGCCCAGCTTAATTTTGTATTTTTAGTAGTGATGGGGTTTCACCATGTTGGCCAGGCTAGTCTTGAACTCCTGACCTCAGGTGATCCGCCTGCCTCAGCCTCCTAAAGTGCTGGGATTACAGGCTTGAGCCACCACGCCTGGCCACTGACGTTCGTTTTTACCATAAAAAATATTTAAAGGCCTTAGGAGGAGTATTGCCCCCCGAAATCATTTGAAGACAGATCTCAGGTCCCATTTGTTTATTTTGTTCAGGTAGTTTGTTTAAAACCTCTGGACAGCTCGAAAGCCAGAAAAAAAAAAAAAAAAAAAGATGTTTTGATCTTCAAAGGCCATATGCAAAAACAAGGACTGAGCTCCCCCTCAACACTGTTTTTCTTTATGACACAGGCTCTTACTATGTTGCGTAGGCTGACCTTGCACTCCTGAATTCAAGTGTTCCTCCTGCCTCAGCCTCCTAAAGTGCTGGGATTACAAGCCTGAGCCGCGGCATCTGGTCTGCCACTTGCTTTTTTTCACTCAACTGCATCAGCATAAGAAGATCTGCTGCTTAAAATTTTTATTTATTTATTTATTTTAAGAAAGATTGAATGATGATGTCTTGGAAGCCGTGCTGGTGCATGCTACAATCCCTGCTTACCTTGGGAGGTTGAGGCAGGAAGAATCGCTTGAACCCGGAAAGCGGAGGTTGCAGTGAGCCGAGGATTCATGCCAGAGCACTCCGAGCCTAGGAGACAAAGCTGAAACTCCATCTCCAAAAAAAAAATTTTTTAGAGACAGGGCGTTTGCTCTGTCACCCAGGGCTAGAGTGCAGTGGTGCATCATATACTCACTGCAGCCCTCAACCCCTGGTTCCAGTGATCACTTCCACCTCAGCCTTCAAGTACGCTTGCGACTACAGGCATGCAATCACATACACCAGCTAATTTTTTTATTTTTTTGTATACGAGGTCAGCCAGTTGTTTGTGTCTCTTTGTTTTGAGATGAGTCTTGCTTTGTTGCTCAGGACTTGGAGTGCTTAGAGTGAGTGTCGCAGTGATCTTGGGTTCACTACAACATCTGTTCTCCTGGCTCAGCATTTCCTGCCTCAGCCTCCTGGGTAGCTTGATTACACGGCCAACCCAACCCACGCGCCGGCTAATTTTTCATATTTTTATGTAGAGACG